AAGATATCCCTCCAGCACCCTAGCACCAGGGAGCAGCTACCAAACACCTCCAGCCCCAGAATAGACCCCATATCCATAAGATTGCCTCCCACAGTATGAAGGGAGATGACAGAGGAGTTCTGGCAGGCAGCAGGGAGGGAGCCTTTGTTGTCTCAAACCTACTTGCTTTAGGGCTTGCTTATGCTGGCCTGCAGATTCAATAGGGAGGAAGAGGCACTGAGCCTGCTCCCTAGGCCACTGAGAGCAAGGGAAAGAGGCAACATAAATCACAAGAATTTAGGAGGCAGGAGACTTGATCTTCCACCTTCTCAGACTACTAAAACAGCATTTTCTTTGAGAATAAGATGGTAGGGGGCCAGGTCCCCATTATCTTAAGTTCTTCTGGTTTTCTTTGCCTCTTCCAAATGTTGCCAATGGTAGATCTGCTTTGGCACCCAAATCAAGGTTGGCAGTGTCTCTCCAGGACCAGCCATCTCTGCACATATGGTCATACTCATGATCACAATGAAAGAAAAGCCGAAACTCGTGCCTGCATTTCCACTCAAAGGGGTGCAGATGCCAGGAGCATGTGCACCACGGTCTACTCAGCAGATTGGAACAGTGCAGTTTTGAAGAGAGAGTATATAAACCACAAGTCATTGGGCTGCTGAAACCACACTGATAGGATGGTTATATGTGTTCTATGAGCAAATATTACAAACTGGAAGACTGTCAGGCAGGAATAGATGTCTCAATGCTAATGTAACCCCAATGAGTTCAATCCAGTTAAACTAGGAATGAATTCAACTCATTAATTCTGCATATGAAATAGTCCAGGAGTTCTTTGTTTTTCAGAAGGGGTGGGGGCGAAACTGTCTATCCAGTCAACAATATCTCTTGAATCCATCTCATGTGCAGTTGCTACCAGGTGTTTTTTGAGCACCAAACAAGCAATTACAATCCCCCCCACCTTCAAAAGGAAGGGAGTCTTCCAAACTGCAAGGCCAGGGCTTTCTTTTGAATTGTTGGCATTAACCCTGGAAGGTTTGGACTGAAATCCACCTCTTAAAATGAGTTGGCATCTGAGCCCAGGATCTCATCACCATGGTTTCCATTGTTTAAGAAGTAAACATGTTTTAGGAGATAGGCAATGAATTGTGTTATACTGAAGCAACTCCTATTCCATATCTTTCAAAAATATCTCTCTACCAGAGCTCCATCTGCTTCTATAGCATGGGACTGATTTAAAGGCATATATAAAAAGACTTAGCAGTAATGTCATCCCCATTAATAATGAGAAAAGGAAACTTTGCTTCGGTGAATACCTTTGGAAATCAAGTTAAACAATTGATGTACAAATCACCTGCATTACCCTGATGACCTCAACTAGACAATTGCTGAAAAAGCATCAGGAAATAAATTTAATAAGTTTGCCAACAAAACTGAATGCAAACTGGTCTGTTTCAATGAAAAATATATAAATAAAGCTGTAAGAGACAGATTCGCAAACAGTAGTCAAGTAGAACATTAAGTCTTTGACACTTCATGTCATACAAATCCACTCCGTCCTACTTCTTGTTCAGCCAATCGCTCAGACAAACAAAAGTTTGTTTACATTTGCAGGAGATAATGCTGCCCGCTCCTTGTTTACAATGTCACTTGAAAGTAAACAGGCATTCACATGGCACTGTTGTAGCCGGCATCACAAGATATTTATGTGCCAGATGCACTAAAGAGTCATATGTCCCTTCATGTTTCAACCACTATTCCAGAGGACATGCATCCATGCTGATGATGGGTTCTGCTCGATAACGATCCAAAGCAGTGCGGACCGACGCATGTGTATTTTCATCATCTGAGTCAGATGCCATCAGCAGAAGGATTTTCTTTTTTGGTGGTTTGGGTTCTGTAGTTTCCGCATTGGAGTGTTGCTCTTTTAAGACTTCTAAAAGCATGCTCTACACCTCGTCCCTCTCAGATTTTGGAAGGCACTTCAGATGCTTAAACTTTGGGTTGAGTGCTGTAGCTATCTTTAGAAATCTCACATGGGTACCTTCTTTGCATTTTATCAAATCTGCAGTGAAAGGGTTCTTAAAAGGAACAACATGTATTGGGTCATCATCCGAGACTGGTACAACATGAAATATATGGCTGACTGCGAGTAAACCAGAACAGGAGACATACAATACTCCCCCAAGGAGTTCGGCCACAAATTTAATTAATGTATTTTTTTTAAACGAGCATCATCAGCATGGAAGCATGTCCTCTAGAATGGTGGCCGAAGCATGAAGGGGCATACAGATGTTTAGCATATCTGGCATGTAAATACCTTGCAATGCCGGCTACAAAAGTGCCATGCGAACACCTGTTCTCACTTTCAGGTGACATTGTAAATAAGAAGCGGGCAGCATTGTCTGCCGTAAATGTAAACAAACTTGTTTGTCTTAACGACTGGCTGAACAAGAAGTAGGACTGAGTGGACTTGTAGGCTATAAAGTTTCACATTGTTTTGTGTTTGAGTGCAGTTATGTAACAAAGTAAATAAATAAATAAATAAATCTACATTTGTAAGCTGCACTTTCACCATAAAGAGATTGCACTACAGTACTTGTATGAGGTGAATTGAAAAATACTATTTCTTTTATTTATCATTTTGACAGTGCAAATATTTGTAATAAAAATAACAATATAAAGTATACTGTTATAATTGAAATCAATATATTTGAAAATGTAGAGAAACATCCAAAAATATTTAATAAATTTCAATTGGTATTCTATTGTTTAACAGTGCAATTAAAACTGCGATTAATTGCGATTAATTTTTAAAATCATGATTAATTTTTTTAGAGTTAATTGAGTGAGTTAACTGCAATTAAATTGACAGTCCTAGTTTCTACCATTATAAAAATGTTGCTAAAATACATTCTACATCTTTCCAAGTGTGCTACTACCATTGTAGGACTGATGAATGAAATTGTTTTTAATTGTTTACTTTATTAATGTAACTTCATAAGTAAAGTTTTATGAATGAAACAATATTCATTCATAAAACCGGTTACCTCAATAACTGGCTAATTAACAGTTAAGATGCTTGTTAAGAGCCATAGCTGTTCAGTCAGCTGCCTTTGTAAGTTTCACTATCAATCCAATTCCTGCTTAAATCACTGAGACTTGCACTGTTTCAGTATTGTAACTTCTGTTCACCATTTATTACACTTCTCTATATTGTAACTTCTGTTCACTGTTTGCCATATTGTAATTCAAACCCCATTTTAAAAAGCTTACTCCATTTTGTAAGGGCTTGCTGCAACCTTCATTTTTGCAAACCCTGCGGTAATCTTATTAGTTTAGTTTAGATGTGTAAATGAGGTATGTATGAATGATGGAATCAACCTCCAGCCCCAGCCTGTCCTGATTAAATAGAGTTCAAACACCAACGGCTGAAGATGCAGACAAGAGCCCTAACAAAGTAAGAAGAATCCACCCTAAAAAGAAAAGGTACAATAGAAGGAAGATCAAAGCCCGGTCCGAGGCTGAAAATCATGTCTGCAATTGACGGGTGATCAATCACCAAACCCAGAGGCAGCGTGACACAGCAAGACCTATAGACTCTGGATTCAAACTAAAGCCTACAAAAAGGATGTGTGAGATGGAAAACTTTGGAGGAGGGTAACATTCTGCTGCCAACATGGAAGGGCATCGGTGCATGCCCAACAGAGACCCAGCTCGTCCTTGGGCTTTCCTGGCCAGTTAGCCGCCACAAGCTACGAACCCAAGCTGGAAACTCAAGCCACAGATTCAAGCAGGACTATGCAGCAGCTGCAGAACATCTGATGGATGTGTGTGTGTGTGTGTGTGTGTGTGTGTATGTGTATAGGTATTAGGTATAATGTGTGTGTATAAGGATTAAGATATTAGTTATTGGTCATAAATCAAATTATCATAATAAATGTGGCATTTTTATCTTGTCCCCTTTAATAAGATCCTGCTAGTTTTTATTGGTATAACACCATGTTTTGAATCATACCTATAGAATATGATAGTATTTTTTAAATAAAGGCACAGCAATAATTATCATTGAGTCAAAGATTTTGTTGTTGTTTTTTTTTAACTAAAACTTCTAAAAAAATAGTCATATTGCCAAAATCAAAGTTTGTTCATATGCAGATACAGTGTTGGTATCCGTGTTTGCACAATGATTTCAGACATTAGGAGAGAAAATTAAGTCACTTTCTTCTTTTATAAAACCTTTCAGTCTCCTCAGCAGTGTTCCATTTACTTTATTTGAGAAACAAAAACAAAACAATCCCACAAGGACATATTTCTTTACCTGTGTTACTAAGAGAAATGTAGCCTACTTAACCAGAAAGAATGTTAAAGATCACATTTCCTTCTCAGTATTCCTTTTGTTTACATTTTGCATTTCACTCAGCTTGAAGAGTTCATGTCACTTTTATTTCCAGGCAGTTTCACCTGCTGGTTCTCACACCGTAGCACAGTGGTTCTCAATATCTTCCAGACTGCAACCTCATAACTGAAAAAAGTTTCAGGACACATACCTCCCAGACCTGGTTGAGACCCCCTGCTTTAACATAATCCAGTTTGAGGCATGGTGCTGCAGGGGAATGTTCAAATCTACCCACAAAAACGGCTTTGACTTTTTTTGTTGGTAATAATTTCATTAAAATATTGCTCTTTATGTTAGTTTTATGTAAAATTCCTCTATCCACCCTTCTCTTTTAAACACATATTATGATATTTAAAATGTATAATCTGAACCACTGTACTAGATCCTCAGGGCAGGAACCTTGTCTTCCTTCTCCCTATAAAAAAGCATGCACTTTTTGGCACTATATCATGGCAAGCCACAACATAATAATACAATAATAGTAGAATTATTCCTTTTACTTAATAAAAATGATTTGTTCCATGCAACAATAACATGCCATGTGTTTCTTGTTTCTTTACAAATAAATTTAAAGACAAAGATATAGCAAATATTTTCGTGTGGCTGATCATACCTGAAGAGGGATTCTCTTGACAACCAGATTTCATTCTGTTTCACAGTTTTCCAAGAGAACAGCAGCAGCAGCAGCAAAGCAGAGAGGGTCAGGGCAGTAGCTCCCCATCTATTTAACCAGGCACAGAGCTTTTTCAAACCATGGACAAAAAGGATAAGGTACCCCATACTGGAAAAACAAACAGGAGGGGGGAAAAGTTGCTATTTCCAGTATTGTACTTCATGTACAAGATTATCTCAGCATTTTTATCTCTTGCACAATAAGGTTTTAAGCTAACTTCATTTTTCAGGTAAACAAATTCAAACTCTTTCTCCTCCTGAAATCAATTTACAGCTTCTATGAATTGACAAGCTCTAAATTATACACCCATCTACTATAAATATAGTAGTAACCATAGTACCATATAGCATAACAGTTCGTATGTGTACATGGCACTATATGTGAAAGGCAGGTTATTTTTCTTAACCAAAAATCTAAGAAAGCATAACATAATAATACTCAGCAAGAATACAGCCGATTACAACTGAAAAGTGCTTCACAAACTAATGAATTCTCAAAACACCTCTGCTAGGTAGCTTTTTTCATGCCCATTTTACAATTGAGCAAGAGAGATTGAGTAATTTATCCAAGGCCACTGCAGGATTGGAAGTCAGGAGTTCACAGTTTTAAGGTCCTGTGCTCAGATTATTTTCCTCTTACATGTAGGAATTTAATTGTAATTATTATTTTGGAAGCTTACATAAATTACAGAAGTATAATGTGAGTGATATCGTAAGAGTGCTGTAACATTAATGATACCAGATTATGGTTGAAATTGAGAACAACAACATATATAAAGTCCATGCTGCCACCTTCTCTCACTAAGGCCATGTCTACACTTACCAGGGATGGGCGTTGCTGCGATTGATGCAGCAGAAGTCAATTTAGCGGGTCTAGTGAAGACCCGCTAAATTGACCGCAGAGAGCTCTCTCATCGACTCCGGTACTCCACTGGAATTAGAAGAGTAAGGTAAGTCAATGGGAGAGCGTGGCGTAGACACTGCTGTAAGTCGACCTAAGCTACGTCGACTCCAGCTATGTTATTCACGTAGCTGGAGTAGCGTAATTTAGGTCGACTTACCCCTGTAGTATAGACAAGGCCTTAAGTAGTATCTTACTCTGTAAGAATCAGAGTAACTAAGGGCTAGTCTACACTGGCAACGCTAAAGCGCTGCCACAGCAGCGCTTTAACGTGCCTTGTGTGGTCGCAGTGCAGCGCTCTGAAAAAAACCCACCTTCACAGGGGGCTTGCCCAGCGCTGGTGCACTGTCTACACTGGCGCTTTACAGTGCTGAAACTTGCTGCGCTCAGGGGAGTGTTTTTTCACACCCGAGTGAGAAAGTTGCAGTGCTGTAAATTGCCAGTGTAGACAAGCCCTAAGTAAGGTGCTATTCAGCCTAAAGGTGGCAGAACCTGGAGGCAAAGACTGTCTCTTACTATGTGTTTGTATAGCCCCTAGCACAATAGTGCCCCAATCTTGACTGCAGCCTCTTCACACAAATAATGATAATAACTGGGCCCATAATGTTTAGAATTTTTTTAAAAAGTGCTAATTGCAAAAGTAGAGACGTGAGATATGCTTCATCATGCACATATATTAACTACAGTGTGGTTACACTGTATTTACAGTACAGTTCTCATTTTTTACATGTAATTACCACTCTTTTTTTTTTTAAAGAATCCTGGTACACAAACTCCATGGTAACACTAATGTAACAACTATGAAGATATACTTTTTGATACACATACTTACTATAAAATCCGAGACTCTGAAGTTTAATTACATAGTTCATACTATAACATCTTTGAATTGCCTGACCACTGCTATCTCATGGAATTTTCAGGTTCACTTTCCTGTGTGCTTACATGGATTTGTATATGCAATGGTCAAATAGCTCCCATATTTTCAAGTGAACTCTTATTCCTGTGTACTACCAAACTGATTCAAGTACTTAAGTATGCAATTAGACTCTATTATGCTATATATTTCTGAACCGGGAATGGAGCATCTTTAATTGCTTTCTTAACATTCTGGTGATTACATGGAATTTTCAGAAATTTCCCCCCCCACACACATATATTCATGGACCTGCACATGTAATGACACATGAAAAGAAATAATTTAATAATGAAGACCCCTCTACTCTGTCCAAGCCCATGTAGCTTCTCAGAAAAGAAAACAAAGTAGAGCATTCTGGAACTATAGTTATAGTCTATTCATAAAGGGAAGTAAAGCTGTTCCCAGTAGCTACCACATCCTCACTCTCACCCATCACAATTAAGTATGTTTACCTGGGAACACAGGAAAACTACAGCTCTGAGAACTCTCCCCTTCTTGTTTTCCAGGCAGCCCAGAGAGCAATACCCACATGGATTGTGCCTAGAATGCTTAAGAGGAAAGGAGCATCCCTTTTAAACTGCTTTATGGTTAGGGAAATCACGTAAAAAATTCATCCCTTGTAATCCCAGTGGAAGAAATAGGATGGCAAACATCAATATATAAATCAGAATGGAACATGCAGCTCTCTGAGGAGTTCCTAATGTGTTTCATTTCAGATTTCTCAAGCTCTGCCCTCTTGAGATGCCAGGCACCATACACCGTGCAGATGTCCTAAATATGACTACGTGTGATCTGCTGAGCTCTGTGGATTTGGCTCCCTTTCTGTGGGATTTGGATACACGTAAGAGCTCTGCTGGGTGCTTTGACTTAGTTCCCTTTTAGTGAGGCTTGAATGCCCAGGGGGCTGTCTCTCGGCTATCTGAATTCTGCTTTTTACAGGATGTGGAGGGCCCTCTCTGCTCTTCTCTGGGTTTTTTGGCATCTCCAGTGGGTGGAGCTTTATTTCTGAGTGAAGCAAGTTTGCCTCATCAGCACTCAGAAGATACAAGTGTTTTCCTCTCTCCCGCTTCCCCCCCGCCAATGTATCCCTGGATCATTGTTACGGAGCAGTGCTGTGGGCTATGGGTACAAACAAAAAACCATCTCGAAATAGACACTCCTCGTTATGCCAACTTACACTGCTAGGGCTTTTAGTATAGAGGCGCCCATGTCATATCAGTAATGCTTACTCATGTGCATAGACCCATTAACATGACCGTGGGCTTGTCTACACTACAAGCATAACTGTGGCAGGGGATGCAATTACAACATGATTGTTCCAATGTACCTTGGCGCTGCCAACACTTAGACACATGCTTAAATTGAAGTTTGGCCTCAGTGGGATTACTTCTGTGCTTAAAATTAAGCATGTGTACACTGTCTGCAGAATTCAAGCCTTACTGCACAGATATGAACTTCCCACGTTCCAGAATGAAAATAGCATGGTTTGTAAACATGGTTAAGGTCCTTTCCATATAACAAACTAGAAAGATGCTTTAACTGTGTCTGAGAATGGACAAATGCATTATAGCCAGGTCTCCAGATATAATTTAACCTGTAGCATTGCGAGTAATAAAATCTTCAGGATCAGACCGTTAGCAACTGCAACAAATTTTTTTTTTCAAAAATTCACTTCTGAAATAAAATTACACAGAAGTCGTCTAAAATAGCTTTTTAAATGTCAAACATTTCCTTAAAAAGTGAAAAACCCTGGAAAAGAATTTAGGAAACAGAATATTTAGCATTGAAATTCACAATGCAACTTTTTTCAGAAACCGAAAGACAGAAAAAAAAAGTACCTCCCAAAAGCACAAAATATAAGCACTGCAATAGCTCTGCGCAAACAAAAACAAATAAAAACAAAAAGAATGCCAGCTGCAATATTAGCATTCAAGTATACCCTGGATACAATATTTTTGTTATACCTACCCTTTTCAGAGGTGGATTTGAATGCTTAGTTTTATGCCTCTAATTTGTTGCGATACATTACTGTTACTTTTCTTAGTTGCGTTTTCCACAAACTTTTTGCACTATGTTTATTGAATTGACACTATTTCTGTTTGCAGTAATTGCAAAGACATTTGCAGATACAAACTGAATATCTGGTGCTTCTATTGAGCCAAAACATCCAGTCCATATGGTGACTGAACTGCGTTTTCAAGTCTCTGAAAAGTTAATCTCAATAATCAGGCCAACAAGAAACTCCTCAAAAAACCTGCAGACAGTTTCCACTCTGATTGATATATTGTCTTTCAGCAGTTTAATCCTGCCCTAGGAATTACCTATTTAACGTGAACATTATTTAGGTGAATTTCTTTATCACAAAGCAGTATCAAAAGGAAGATCCTTTCACCTTTGCAGTTTTAGGCACACACCTTCTCCAAACAGCCTACTGCACGTACCCAGAGAACAAGTGGAAACATTTGGGAAATATTCAGACAGTTCCAATAGCTCATATTACAGAAGGGGAGAAGCAGGACTGACCCAGTTCCCAGCTGTTGGGAATTGCTAATATACTCTTGTTCTCACCAGCAGTATTCAGTATGCTTGTGCTGAATACAGATACAGTTGTATTACAGTTTATACAGCTGCTGTGAAGAGGCTTTTTTTATATACTTTTGATTAAGCTTCATGGTAGTTACATGGATAAATGTGGTATTACACAGAAATAAGGGTTCATTTCAAAATACAGTACACATCTGAGGGAACTACAGGGGTAGTTACATCATAACACCTCCAAATAGTTCTTGAATAGTGCTTTTCATTCATAGATCTCAAAGTACATTACAAGGGAGGTCAGCATCATTATTTTCATTTTACAGATAGGGAGACTGAGGCACTGGGAAGGGAAGTGACTTGCCCAAGGTCATCTAGCACGCCAGTGGCAGAACTTGGACTAGAAACCAAGTCTCCTGAGCCACAGCCAAGTGCCCTAATCACTACATAGAGAGTTCCAGAGACATACATTGAACTTTCATCAGGACTTTGAATTATCTACCTAAAAATTCCTTGTAACTCCATGAAAATGCAGTCAGAAGGTAATTCTAAGCTACACTATAAATCAAGTGCACCCATATAATTTAACTTCTGATTGTAGCTTTTTGTAACAAATACATATATCACAAAGTAGAACTTCATAGTAATTACACTATAACAACAATGTGGCTATGTACCAGAATTCTACAAAATAATACATGTATTAAGTATGAGACTAAAAGGGGTAATACTAAGTAATGTAGGCTTTAAGTAT